CCTCCATCAGCACCAGACACCCTCCATCAGCACCAGACACCCTCCATCAGTACCAGACACCCTCCATCAGCACCAGACACCCTCCATCAGCACCAGACACCCTCCATCAGTACCAGACACCCTCCATCAGCACCAGACACCCTCCAAAATGTGGTGGAAAGTCTTCCCAGGAAAGTGGAGGATGGTATAGACACAAAGGGAGGCCAACTCCATATAACTCATATCCTATAAAGTGGGTGGGACAAGGAAATCCTTCCAAATCCGCATCCGGCCAGTTTCCTGAATCGCTTCATCTGCAAACGTGGTAAAGAATCCACAATGTTAATAAATTAAGTACAAAGCATTACATTTAAAACACAGACAAAACAAAGTCATGTGATCTCTATGAGAGGTAATAATAACTGGAAGTGTCACACGGACACATTTCTCAGCATGCTGCAATGCCGATGACAGGTCCACTTTAAGTAGAAGAAGCATTCCACGGATGAGCCGCTCTGAGTGGGCACCGAGGGGTTAAGTTTCCGCATGCAGCGCGCAGCGGGTACGTACATCGGTGGGCGGAGCTCTCCCCCGTCTCCTGATAATTGTACCTGCCGGCCATTTATTGATAGAACACGTTTAAGAACATCTGCTGCCGCGGTTTTTAATATCCTCCGACGCCAGCGGTCGCCAGGCTGCGCTTTAGCTCCGTACACATCGCGGTGTAACCAGCTCCGCCCCCGGGCCGACTCGTCTTCCAATTACGAGAGGAGATCAGTTTGTTGCCTTCAGGAGAATCAGCTCCTAAAATTCCAATTAAAGCCGCCGAATCCGACGTTCCGTCAGAAATATAGAGAGGCGTCTAACGATGAGCCGAAGATCAGTACAAGGGACCGGACCCGCCATGGCGCCAGCACCCACTGACAGGGAACAAGCAAGTGGCCAGTGAAGTCAGAACTCACCAGCATACTTGTTCAGAAGAGGCCAGCAATAGGCACTGATTTGCAGCCTCTAGTGCAGGCGCTGGGACAGCCCTCAGTCTGCAGGGTGTGTGGAGGCTCCGAATGAGCTCACAAGGGCCAATGTACCAGGAGAAGTTCATGTGATGGTCAGAGGGAGAGTCAGGCAACCAGCATGTCCAATGGCCGCCGGCCTCCATGTTCTCTCAGGAAGGAGTTATGTAATCTCTGTGCCATGTTTCTGTTACCTGTCATGGTTCAGCCCTCCCACCCCCGAAAACACCTTCTTGTCAGTAATAAGAACCCGTGAACACCGTATCTTCTGGGGTTTGAGTTTCTGCCTGCTATTCCCGGCTCCGCCCACTCCCCCGTGTCATCCAGTTCTGTGGCCTTGGTGGGTCACGTTAATGATGGAATCCTGTGGTCTCTCCATGTGTCTTCTCTGCTCCCATACATTTCCCTGATCAGTCACTTCTACCATACACTGCTCCCTGCCCCCACACACCTCCCATGAGCCTCCCACACTCTCGTCCCTCCCCTGTATTCCCCCAGGCCCCTCCCCTGTATTCTCCCAGGCCCCTCCCCTGTATTCTCCCAGGCCCCTCCCTTTCCCTAGGTCCCTTCCCTGAGGTGCTCTGCTGTTACTATTCTGGCTCCCCGGTGATTGTTGTCACCCTAAAACGCAGAGCCGGCAGGAAATGGGAAGAACAGTCTTCAGAAGTTTTCTTATTCTGGTTATTGCCGGAGAAGCTCCGCCCCCAAAATCACACCAACTCTTCATTCTGTTTATCAAACTTTCTCTATTCTTCAATTTCTACAGAAGAATCATAAAAACCCTTTTATGGGATTCCTCGAAGAAATTCAAAGTGCCCAATAAAAATAAAAGACGGAGAATTCCACATCTGCGGCTTTATTTTATGGCGGAGATTTCATTACCGGCGGAAAACAGGAAGTCTGTTGTCATAAAACACCGAGATGAAGACAACCAGCAACCGAAGGAAACGCCAGATACAAAGTGACACCTACATAGCCGACCTCCGTCCTCCCCTTCAGCCTTCTATCCGACCTCCGTCCTCCCCTTCAGCCTTCTATCCGACCTCCGTCCTTCCCTTCAGCCTTCTATCCGACCTCCGTCCTTCCCTTCAGTCTTATATCTGACCTCCATCCTTCCCTTCAGTCTTCTATCTGACCTCCGTCCTTCCCTTCAGTCTTCTATCTGACCTCCGTCCTCCCCTTCAGTCTTCTATATGACCTAAGTCCTCCACTTCAGTCTTCTATCTGACCTCCGTCCTCCCCTTCAGTCTTCTATCTGACCTCCGTCCTCCCCTTCAGTCTTCTATCTGACCTCCGTCCTTCCCTTCAGTCTTCTATCTGACCCCCGTCCTCCCCTTCAGTCTTCTATCTGACCTCCGTCCTTCCCTTCAGTCTTCTATCTGACCTCCGTCCTCCCCTTCAGTCTTCTATCTGACCTCCGTCCTCCCCTTCAGTCTTCTGTCTGACCTCCGTCCTTCCCTTCAGTCTTCTATCTGACCTCTGTCCTTCCCTTCAAGGGTTCCCCCCCAAGTACTAAGTCATGTTCTGCTTGGGGATCAAATACTTATTTTACTCCCTGAACTGCAACTCCATTTGTAACATTTGTGTCATGTGACTTCTCTGGATGTTTGGTGGATATTCTGTCTCCGATGATACAAATGATATCTGCCGGGGAGCCAATCATTGTTTTCCTCACTTCTGGAATTGATCATCGTCAATGGCGAGTGTTATCTCTGCTACAATTGTTTGGCGCGGAGCCGCAGCGCGGGTGACGGTAGATGTCAATGGACATATAAAACGCATTATGTGGGTTCACCAAGTGACCCCCCCAATCCCGGCACCATGCGAAGCGCCGACACCTCCCCGCACACCTGACATTTGAGAGCTGCGACTCCTCTATAAATGTCATTAATGTACCAGAGACGGAGAGCGGAGACTCCAGCCAAAGATCCAGGCGCAGCACGGAGAGCGATCATGTGACGCAGCGACACGCGCATTCCAAACGTGAAACGCATTATGGAAAAGTTCAGAGCGAATGAAAGTGGAAATCTGAGAAAATGTGAAAAGCATCTTATAGACTTCTTCATATATTTCATACCAACAGCACATATACCGGCAATCCCAGAATGCCCTGCACTGCAGAAATCAGGCTGACAACGTGTCCGTGTGACCCTTCCAGGTATTTATTCCCTCTCACAAAGGTCACATGACTCCCCCTGGCAATCCCTTCATCTGCTTTACTCTCCAGAAGGAGGACGGCACCATCCTTGTTCAGGCACCATCCAGGGTCACCATCTACTTGCTGGACTTAGATGCCGGCTCAGAGATTACTGGGGGGGGGGGACTGAGGAAATGCTTCCTCCTGCCTGCAGCAGACTGATAACATCATCTTGGCTTAGACTCTGATGACGGACTCCACTGATGGTGGGCTCCACTGGTTGCAGACTCCACTGGTGGCGGACTCCACTGATGGCGGACTCCACTGATGGCGGACTCCACTGGTGGCGGACTCCACTGATGTAATTCTCTGGATGTGACACGGATACTCCCTGAGGGGGGATTGGATGAAACCTATCGAGAATCCAACTCCTACTTCAAATGGTAACTTACAGTGAGAGTATATTAAATCACGAGTCATTGCAGTCAGATGCAGAATAACCTCAGAATGGATGAACATGGTACATAGCCCGACTCACATGGATATAAGTGTGTGTCTGTCTGTATGGGTTGAGGTGCAATACTGAACTATTGTTTTATGCCAACTCTCTGCCAGCAAGATCCTGAGTCCTGGCGGACTCTGCTGATGGCGGACTCTACTGATGGCGGACTCTACTGATGGCGGACTCTACTGATGACGGACTCTACTGATGACGGACTCTACTGATGTGGCAGAGAGGCCAACTCTCTGCCAGCAAGATCCTGCGTGAATTTCCATGAGGCCTAAAGTGGCTCCCCATACAAATAAAGTCTGATACTAAAAATATAGCGGACAACAGAGCAAACGTGACATGACTCTTACAAAGATACACAGTATAAGATATAAGGATATATAGTATAAGATATCAGGATATATAGTATAAGATATCAGGATATATAGTATAAGATATAAGGATACACAGTATAAGATATAAGGATACACAGTATAAGATATAAGGATACACAGTATAAGATATAAGGATATATAGTATAAGATATAAGGATACACAGTATAAGATATAAGGATACACAGTATAAGATATAAGGATACACAGTATAAGATATCAGGATATATAGGAACATATAAGGAAATATAAGATAAAAGAAATAGTTTTGTTGAGATTGTTGCTCAGTATAAATATATTGGATGATGGGATTTTTAGGAGCCGGCTGATGGTTGGGAAATCACTTTGAAAATGGATACATTGTAGTAATTCGGCAATAGACGTAGCGGTGTATCGTCCCATTTTGATGATATTTGGCGTACATGTTACAATGACTCGAGGTTTGACTCTCTAACACACGCCTCACATTCCCTCTCAATGGGACAATAGTGAAGGATCTCACCTTTTCCAGCTGGTGAATCGCCTCCTCCATGCAGCACAGGGAGGCCAGCGTCCGCAGCGCGGTCGGGTACAGGCATTTAAACTGATCCTGACGCAGAATTTTAAACAGACCGACGACGGCCTCTTCCTGAAAAAAAAAATAATGTGGAATATTAGCTCAGAAATAGCCTGCTGGGCCGTATGACCCACATGAGGTTCAAGCTCTCTCATAGTGTACATCAGACACAGAATATCAAGCTCTGGATCTGATAGGGCTGCTGACATCACATCCAAGATGGCGGCACCAGGCAGGCTTTTGGATGTCTACACAAGGGAGGCTTTTAGAAGTAAATATCATACCAATAATATATTAAATGCACGTATAATCTTATGGGAAGATGGTGGTGGAAGTGAATGGTCTGGTGACAGGGTCTCTATAAGGAAGATGGGGCTTCCATTGATGCATACCTTCCCTCAATGTATTCATTGCTATATATACTGGATGTCCACACTATATAACATTTCAGTCCCAGTCTCTGGGAACAGTTAACCCCACCCACAGGCCTCAGGCCTGCCCAATTATGGGGTTGTCCTGTCCAGACCCCTCCCACTTACTATAGTGGCCCACCCATGCCCCACCTCTAAGTATCTGTGGACCGCCCACCCATTGCCCCATTGTAATGAATGTCTTATTGATTTATTGAGCATGCAGAGTAATTTATGGGTTGGGGGCTGGGAAGTGACCACGCTGCAATACTTAACAGCAGTAGAGAAGTGTCAGGTCACTGACATGTGCTCTCTGTGTGCATCTCAGGAACAGATGAACAGAAATACAAATCCTTTGACTCCCATGTGCGCAGAGGTGTATCTACTATAAAATGCGCCTATGGCGTCCCACAAAGCTCCTGGCAACCAGTGATGTCACTAGTTGCCAGGAGCGCCGCAGGATGCCTGCCAGAGTGAAACAAAGTTAGCTGTCTCTGTGGGTCAGTAAACTTTCACTGACCCGGGGAGTGGCTCCTCCCCCCTCCAAGTGGCACCCAGGGTATGTGCCATACGTGCCATGCTCTGGATAGGCCACCGCATGTGCGCATTTCATCCGCGCTATCGAGCTGTTTGCTCAGCTTTACACAAAAACTTTTTTTTCTTTCGTCATTTCTTTCCATGCCAACGACGACCTTCCCACCGTCACAGACAATAGCGGTTAAACACTGAGCGCCCGATATAGACAGTGACCCCCTGGCGGCGCAGACTGCGATGAGACGCCCCACGTAGGCGCACCCCCATTATTTACACAATTGACTTTTCACATCTGTAAATATCACTTTAATTAAAACTGCTGAAGAAGTCAGAAGTCGGCTCATGGTAACGAAAAGCTGCTTCCCGCCAGCAATGCCTCATTATCTGACCGTCATCACGTAAGACGCCGCTTGCCGCAATTAAGAGGAATTAACACGGAGAACTTCTACACTGATTGGGTGGGAAGGCGAACTGCTAACTGACAGCGAGCATCATGCAGGCGGGTGAAGTTCACGTGAACCGCGTATTATGCAGGAACACATGGAGGCAGCAAAAAATAAAACCGACGGATACTTTATAAATGGCAACTCGATGTCTTTAAATATACAATGAATCCTAAATCTTATGTTATGTGAGGTATGCGATTCTATATCGACTCCGGGAATCAGCTTGTTATATACAGTAATACCTCGGTTTACAAGTAACTTGGTTTGAGAGCGTTTTGCAAGACAAGCAAACCTTTCTGAAAAATGTTGCCTTGATATACAAGCAATGTCTTGCAATAAGAGCAAGAAAAGCACCACCCGAATAAGGCTGTAGCAGTGCGAGCGATGAGTCTCTTTAACGGCAATGCAACGTCACATTGGATAGATTCCTTGTTAAGGTTTCACGAAATGAAAAAGATTCCATTGAGCCAAGAGATCGCAGTCATTCCGTTACTGATAGTGAAAGTCGTCCTGCACAATAATCCTCCTCTCTCTTGTCTCCCTCACACCGGCCACGAAGGTAACCGGTAATTGGTTTATTTTTCTTTATATTTTGTACAGTATTATATTATATTACAGTACTGTAATAATTTTTATATTAATATTTTTGGGTTGTGGAACGAATCATCTGAATTTCCATTATTTCCTATGGGGAAATTCGCTTTGATATACAAGCGCTTTGGATTACAAGCATGCTTCCGGAACGAATTATGCTCGTAAACCAAGGTATTACTGTATGTGGACTGCCTGCCTCAGAGTTCTGCACAGTAATCATTCTGATCAGTTTCTTTAAAGTGACACTAAATTCCAAGGTTAAGGGCTTGTTAACACCAAATGCAGTACAGTGCGTTATTGGCGCTTTCTGGGCCGTTTTTTCTTTTTTTCTTTTAGCCTAAAATGGGCTTCTAGTGCGTTCCAGGGTGTTCGCATGCATTTTGGTGTGTTCCAGAGCTGAAAAAATAGGGCATGCTCTGGAACTGTGGCGGTATGATTATTTTGATTTTCGTAATTTTTTCGTCGCGATTTTTTTTCTGATTTTTTTCGTTATTTTATTTCTTCGTTTTTTATCGAATTTCCCGCCGGTTCCGCCCCCATGCGACGCGTCAGCTCGCAAGGGACGGAAGCCGGAAGACAGATGCCGGCGCCGGCCGGAGGACACCGCACGGCTCGAGGGACAAAGTAAGTAAATACTGTGGGATATTCCCGAGTGTAGCTCAGGGTATGGAGATGTAACCCCGAGCTACACTCGGGAATACCGCCAAGGAGGTTAAGGACCAGAGGTCTTGCTGCACTCTTTACCGGAGGGAACCCATATGGGTGGGTGCTCTTTTTTTTTTTTCTTCTTTTTTTATCAAATTCCCCGCCGGTTCCGCCCCCATGCGACGCGTCAGCTCGCAAGGGACGGAAGCCGGAAGACAGATGCCGGCGCCGGCCGGAGGACACCGCACGGCTCGAGGGACAAAGTAAGTAAATACTGTGGGATATTCCCGAGTGTAGCTCAGGGTATGGAGATGTAACCCCGAGCTACACTCGGGAATACCGCCAAGGAGGTTAAGGACCAGAGGTCTTGCTGCACTCTTTACCGGAGTCTGAGCCTGATGAAGGGGACCCCTTGAGGCCCCGGAAGCGCTTGCATTGAATGGCAATGTGCCATTAAATGGATTATTGATTTACTACTACGGTGTGCTGGTTACAATATTTTCTTCTGCTCTCGAACTGAACGCTGCGGTGTGAACTAGAGCCCAAAATACCATTGGAATACATTGGACGCAGTTTTGATCCGGTCTGTAACTGCTCCTCGCTTGGTGTGAACAAGCCCTAAATCTTCAATATACATTCACATACCTGAACTCTGAGCAACAATGTATCTTATTTGTGTATCATTCGGCTGGAGATCCTCCAATCATCTCTGATACTGTCCTTCCTTCTGGAGGGGGGCTACGTCTGTTCCCCGTGGTCCCTGTGTGTGTTGTAGAGTAGTCACCGCTCCAAGCTCCGCCCCCGGGATGGACTACAATCTCATGTCTAGTTTACTGATTTGTAATGAGATTGTAGTCCATCCTGGGGGGGGGGGGCTTGGAGCGGTGACTACTCTACAACACACACAGGGGCCATGGGGAACAGGCATAGCCCTCCCCCCTCCAGAAGGAAGGACGGTGTCAGAGAGGATTGGGAGATCTCCAGCCGAGTGATACACAAATAAGAGACATTGTTGCTCAGAGTTCAGGGACTTGAATGTATTTTTAAGGTTTAACTCCTGAGTTTAGTGTCAGTTTAATGCAAATTTAGCAGACAAACAATAGACTCTGCAGTTTCTGATGATGTGAAATATGCACAATGCTCCTGGAAGCCAGAGTTTGTAATGAGGGAGTTCAGGAGAAAAGAGAAACTATTGTGAATGTGTGTCCTGTTCCTTCACTCTACACACAAGTTAACTGCTTAAGGTTTTAGTCATGGGAGACACGCCCTAAAAGTCATTGACGAAGCCTCTAGGGCCTTGGTTCTCAACTGGTGGGTCGCGACCCCATGTTCAGTGGGTCCCTGCATGCCTTCCATTTTTCTAGGTGAAAAGCTCATCGGCTTCCCCCTACCGCAGCACTGTCAGTTCTGCCGCCAAACAGCCATTCAAAATATGCTGCCCGGTGCCGAGTGTCAGCTTGAGGTGGGATGGGCTATGCCCGTGAGGGAGCTCCATCTATAATTACAGTTCCCTCACGTGTCCTGGACCAGAGTGATGTCACATTCTGGCTACTACAGGGCATGCAAGTGAGATGTACCAGCATTGCACATATGGATGGAGCTCCGTCACAGCACAGCAACCCACACTGGACCCCAGGCTAAGGATCCACTCCAGTTCTTGTAAGGTATGGAGACCGGGTGGATCTTTTGAATGCACCTCCCACCCACAGTTTGGTCGCCCGCACCAGAAAGTGCAATAACGCAATGCTGTGCATTCCATTGCAGTGCAACTTGGGTTGCGACTTGATGACCAAGGACAAATGTGGGTCCCAAAGTTACATAGGTTGAGAACCACTGCTCTAGGGCATATCTTCTACGTCCTGCTCCCCTTCAGCTGCCTATAAGGCCCCATTCATTCACACCGCAGCATTTTGTACCTCCAATGTCTAAGTGCTACAACGCTGGGCGGGAGGAATCCCATTGTTTTCTATGACCCCCGTTCACACTGGAGAATTCGGTCACTTGTAGCACAAGAAAGTACATGAGCTTCTTTCGGAGCAGAGTCAAGGGTTCTGACTTCAATAGACTTCAATGAGAGCACCTGAAAAATCAGGACGCTCAGCTCCAGTGTGAATAGGACCTAAACCGGCAGCTACCGGCTGTCAAAATACATAGCGATTCCCTGTAGTAAAGATCATGTTGACCGACTGCCTTTTATTATATGATCAGCACTGTAGGAAACCTGGAGCAGCATTTTCCCCAGGACAGAACAGAAGATTATTTGTTATTCTTTTTTTATCCCTCCCGGTCTGTTACCATAGCCCGGCCCGTTACCATAGCCCGGTCCGTTACCATAGCCCGGTCCGTTACCATAGCCCGGTCTCACAATGTCAGTATAGTTTATCTTTAGTACAGAAATGTTACCAAGGGAATCCCAAACTGTTTATTTGCAGTCGGGTCCTCT